CTCTGTGGGGGTCGGGGACCCCCCTCCGGTGCTTCCTGCCACTCACTTAGGGCCTCCTAATTTCAAAGATATCCCCTTGCTATTATTAAGTATGACACCGTTTTATTTATTTTTTTTTTATTACATCGATAGACGAAACGAGGGAAAAAAAACAGTTTCGATTGAAAATGCAAATACCATAAATTTTTATTCCGCATTAAAAAGAGGGGAGGAAGAAAAAAAAAAAAAATTCTGCGTGGCAAAGAATGATTACTTTTCGAAAGCGGGGCCCGAGGTCGCCTTCGGAAGGCCGGGGCCGCGAAACTTGCGGGAATTTCGGCCTTCCGATTTCGAATTCGTGCTCCCCTCGTCGGGATCGACCGGATACCGGATTTCCGGGAAGATCCCGCGAGCGGTCCCGTCTTTATTCGGAAAAGAGCGCGTCTCCCCTGGCGGCGAAAAGGTGCATTTCTGCCTTATCTCGACAACTTTCGGGAATACGCGAAAAAGAAAAATACGTGCGGGACGCCCCGGAGGTGCCGCGTCGAACGAGTGCCCTTTCGGATCCGGGAGTCGATCGCAGCGCCCCCTGTCCGGTTTTTTCGCATTTCTCTCCCGGGAGTTTATTTTTTTCGACCCCGGGGTCGCGCGGGGGACCTCCCGCGGAGTGTCGGAAAAAAAAATCGAGGTCCCAGCTCGTATTTTAATGTGTTTCGGACGGTCTCGAAATCGGAAAAAAAGCACCCCTCGGCGCCCCTGCACGGAAAAGTCGCTGCGCGATCGGGAAACGGACCTGAAATTCGGAAAGAGGGCACCCTGTTCCACCCGGGGTGCGGATTTCGTCGTTCCCGGACGGCCGCAGGGGTCCAAGTCGGCACGTTGGAGTGATCGTGAAGCGCGGAGCGCCGGAGACGACCCGGGGGGCCGCGCTTTCGCTCTCTTCGACGGACCGCACGGTTTCCTCTGCGTTTCGAGAGTCGACGACCCCTCCGGTGCATCCGGAGACCTTTAAATCCGTTTCTAATTTTCTAGAAATCACTACTTTTTTTTTTTTTTTTCATTTTCCTTCGTGGAATTTTTATGCGAAAATTCTGATCTCTCCTATCATTCTTTTCAGGTACTTTCTTCGGGGAAATGTATGTATATGTATATTCGAAGATGAAATGGGAAAGCTGTGGAAAAAAACCAGGAAACTCCCCACCGGAAGTTGCGCCCTTTTTTTCGGGGGGGGATGAAGTAAGTACCGTAACCTTTATTTTATTTATTTTTTTGTAGCAATTATTCTCTAAGAGTACTACTCTTCATTAAGGCGTGTATATATAAGACATTGTAACGAAAGTACTGTCTATTTAATGTGTCACCCTTCGAGTAGAAGAAAAAAAAATTAAATCGGTACAGAGTACATTCGAGGGGGAATATTGTCGGCTATTTTATTCGGCATTGTCTTCTTATTTTTTTCTTATCCCACCGGGAGGGAACGGTATATATATTAAAAAAGTGGAACGGAAAAAAAAAATTAAATCAGTGTACAGTCCCTATATATATAAAAGAAATACACAACAGGTAAGAAAAAACGAAACGTTATTATTTCCGTTCTGTTTTATTCAGCAGTTTCCCTGAAGGTAAACCTGCATTTCGTCGTTTTGGGGAAAAATTTTCGAAATCGATTTTATATATTAAATTTCATAGCCCGTACGTTAAAGATTCGAAAAACACTCTAGTTTTGACTTTTACGACATTCAGAAGCAAAGTTACAGCATCGTCGGTCCACCGGAAACGGAGCTCGCAAAACCGGAAGTGCATCCCTACTCCAAATATTTCCAAGATATCGAATTGAAATTTTCAGAACACGTTTTATTCCGTTCTATCTGTGTTACGAATCAAAATCTAAAACTCTGTGTATGTATTTATTGCACTTTTTGTGAGAAAATAACATTACTTTTTTTTTTTTTAATTGAAAAAAAAAATAAAAAATAAAATAAATAAATAAAGGATGTATATTCAACAATGCAATGCGTATTCTGTCACATTACATTACACGAAAGGAGTCCTAATAATTTTAAAAGAAAAGTGCTGTGCGGCAAAGAATTACAAAAGAACATTAACACACCACTATTGGGAAAAAAATAAACTAACTTAGTGGTACTCGAAAAATTAAAAATTTTTTGAGAAAAACGACCTGCATAATTGGCATTACTTTTAATTAATGTATATATCTATCCCTACCAGTTGGGGGATTTATTCCTTTCTTTCAAACGAATGTTCGCAATATAAATAATTTTAAACAAATTGCCATTTTGCCTCAAAGTAAATAATAATTTAACAGATACATATTTTTTTTTTTGAATAAAAAGAGAAAAGTAGCATGCTATCATTTTTATTTATATTTGTAACATAAAAAAGTAGTTGTACAAGTTGCATCGATGACTCCGGTACATATCCTGTAATAAATCAAAAGAAAAAAAAATTAGCAGAGATATCATAAAGCATTTTACAAAACACTATGATTCTTAAAACACATCAGGTAGCCTGCAACTCAAAATGTACAATGATTGAATTAAACAGAGGGAAAAAAAATAAATAAATTTTAATGAATATGTTTGCAATTAATTGAAAATAATAGATTTTCTTTAAAAACAACTGTCAATATACCACATCGACCTCAATGTAATGTATATCCAACAATGCAATGTATATTACATTACAGGAAAGGAGTCGTAATAATTTTAAAAGAAAAGTTCTGTGTGGCAAAGAATTACAAAAGAACATTAACATACCACTATTGGGAGAAAAAAAAAAAAAAATTAACTTAGTGGTACTCCGAAAAATTAAAAATTTTAGAGAAAAACGACCTGCATTACTGCCATTACTTTTAATTAATATATATAATTATCCCTTCCAGTTGGGGGAGGAAAATTAAAAAAATACGCACAGGTGAAAAAAAAAAAACTTACAAATAGCCTACACATATTGTCATGAATTTTTCGGAGCACAGAAAACAAAAGAGAATAGTAACTGTAGAAAGAAAAAAAAATATTAATAAAACAATACTTTGGATAAAAGAAATTAAATCGGTACATTTAGGAAGAAAAAAAAAATTACAAATCCACAGTCATGAAATTTTAAAGTAGTACTGGAATGAATAGACCCATTTTAGGGGGGAAACGAAGCATAGCAAACACTTTTTATTTATTAATTTATTTAATTCATAATGGTAATATAAAATAAAAAAAAATTAAAAAAAAAAGCCAGGCCAGAGGGAAAGAACTCCCAACCGCAGCACAGGGGGCTGTATCAGTCAAACCTCGATTTCGAAGCACTCGACGGGGCCGGCCGCCGACAGCCTTTCACGAGCACTTCACCAGATCACCCGAACGAGGCATCGATCACGACACACTCCAACCCACTCCGGAATCATTCCAAAGTCCCATGGAACACCGGAACGAAGCTCACACGACAACAGCCAACCTGTCTCTCCAACGCTATCTTCCCCCGGCGGCAGGGCTTCCGTGCCCCTCGGCCGCATGCGACAGCGCCCTCTTCCGGTGCTGCTCGAAAGATTTCGAAGTCCAAAACCACTCCACTTCCCGTTCTAGTCTTCATCACTCGCTCTTCCCTTCAACTGCAACTCGATCGTCTTGCGACTTTCCTACGAGCCTCGCACGAAATCTGCACAAACTTCCCCCGGCGGCAGGGCTCCCGTCACCAGGGCCCGCATGAGACGGCGCCCTCTTCCGGTGGACCTCGAAAAATTTCGAAGTCCAAAAACACTCCACTTCCTGTTCTCTTCTTCATCACTTGCAACTTCACTTCATCATCACCCTTCGACTGCAACTCGATCGTCTTCCCTACGAGACTCGCACGAACTGTGCACCAACTCCCCCGACGGCTGGGCTTCCGTACCCCTAGGCCGCATGCGACAGCGCCCTCTTCCGGTGGACCTCGAAAAATTTCGAAGTCCAAAAACACTCCTCCTCGCCACCACTCGATGTCGTCTTCATCACTTGATCTGCCCTTCAACTGCAACTCGATCCTCTCGCAACTTGCACACGAGCCTCGCACCCACTTCTCCCGACGGCAGGGCTCCCGTCACCAGGGCCCGCATGAGACGGCGCCCTCTTCCGGTGGACCTCGAAAAATTTCGAAGTCCAAAAACACTCCTCCTCGCCACCACTCGATGTCGTCTTCATCACTTGATCTGCCCTTCAACTGCAACTCGATCCTCTCGCAACTTGCACACGAGCCTCGCACCCACTTCTCCCGACGGCAGGGCTCCCGTCACCGGGGCCCGCATCCCACAACGCCCTCTTCCGGTGGACCTCGAAAAATTTCGAAGTCCAAAACCACTCCACTTCCCGTTCTCTTCTTCATCACTTGCAACTTCACTTCACCCTTCGACTGCAACTCGATCGTCTTCCCTAAGAGACTCGCACGAACTGTGCACAAACTCCCCCCGACGGCTGGGCTTCCGTACCCCTAGGCCGCATGCGACAGCGCCCTCTTCCGGTGCTGATCGAAAAATTTCGAAGTCCAAAACCACTCGTTCTCTCCACTTCCTGCTCTGTTCGAGCCAAGTCTCGCCTCGGCGACCGATTCACTCCGAGCCTCTCACCACTTCCCTGCACCCACTCGGCTCCACCTCTCCCGACGGCAGGGCTCCCGTCACCAGGGCCCGCACGAGACGGCGCCCTCTTCCGGTGCTGCTCGAAAAATTTCAAAGTCCAAAACCACTGGTTCGCGCCTCTTCCTGTTCATCGCTCGCTCTTCGACACCAACTCGACTTGCACACGAGCCTCGCACCCACTTCTCCCGACGGCAGGGCTCCCGTCACCGGGGCCCGCAGCCCACAACGCCCTCTTCCGGTGGACCTAGTCCCGGACCTCTCCACTTCACTCTCGCATCAAACTCGATTTTTTTTTTTTCTCTTCTCCAAGCAACTCCAGTGTTTCGAGGTCCCCTCGGGGGAACCGTTACCCCAAAAGGAAAGGGGGCGCCGGCGGAGCCAGCGAGTCCTCCGGACGAGGGATGAGTCTCAGTAGATCGCACTATGGTGGGTGCTCTGCTACTTACGACACCCCGTCCAGCAAGAACGTCGTCTGCAGACGACTCTACGCCCACTCACATCACTCGTCTGCCCGGAGGCAGGCTCGCAGGAGCAGGACCCTCGGAGTCTACGGAGGGTCCCGGAGGTCTCGGGCGTGCGAAGGGGCCACTTTCGCCCGCTCGCGCTCCCCGACGGCGGGGCCGAGGGGGGAACATCGAGGGGCTAGAGCTGCCGTTCGACGCGAGGGGCACACAATGATATCCTCACCGTTCTCGGGACGGCTTCCGACTTAGAGGCGTTCAGCCGTTATCCGAGCGGATGGTAGCTTCGCGCCACCGGCGGCACCACCGAGCGCAGTACCAAATGTCCGAACCTACGGTTCCTCTCGTACTGGGCAGATTTTACCGTCGCGACGACCCGTCTTCATGAGGGTAAAACTAACCTGTCTCACGACGGTCTAAACCCAGCTCACGTTACCTGTTAGTGGGTGAACAATCCAACGCTTTGCGAATTCTGCTTCGCAATGATAGGAAGAGCCGACATCGAAGAATCAATAAGCGACGTCGCTATGAACGCTTGGCCGCCACAAGCCAGTTATCCCTCCGGTAACTTTTCTGACACCTCTCGCGTGAGACTCCCACGCATCGAAAGGATCGATGGGCCCCTCTTTCGAGGTCCCCTTCCTTACTGAAGAACGAGATCGAGCCGGCTTTTGCCCCTTTGCTCTAAGCCAGGTTTCCGTCCCGGCCGAGCCGGCCTTGGGACACCTGCGTTGCCTTTTGACAGATGTTCCGCCCCAGACAAACTGCCTGCCTGACACTGTCTTCGGAGCTCTTCCCCGACGCTTTCGACGAAGCGCGGGTTAAGTTCACATAACACGTCGCATCCCGAAGGAAGGACCACAGAGCATCACCGAATCAGTAACAAGGCGATCAAAGTAGTGGTATTTCACAGACCCGCCTCACGAAAAGACTCCCACCTAGACTACGCCAATAATGCCTCGCCACAGAGTCAGACTACAGTCAAGCTCGAAAGGGTCTTCTTTCCCCGATGAATTTGCCAAGCCCGTTCCCTTGGCTGTGGTTTCGCTAGATAGTAGATAGGGACAGTGGGAATCTCGTTAATCCATTCATGCGCGTCACTAATTAGATGACGAGGCGTTTGGCTACCTTAAGAAAGTCATAGTTACTTCCGCCGTTTACCCGCGCTTCATTGAATTTCTTCACTTTGACATTCAGAGCACTGGGCAGAAATCACATTGCGTCAACACCGTTCTCCGGCCGTCGCAATGCTTTGTTTTAATTAGACAGTCGGATTCCCCTAGTCCGTGCCAGTTCTTGTTCGTTTCCACGATGTCCCGCGGCACAAGCCCCGGCTCTCGAAGGAGCGAGGCCACCCTCTTTCCTCTTCCCTCCGTCCGCGTAGGGGTCCGACCACGCCTCGGAGAGGGCGGTCAGTCCCCACGGCAGAAGCGCAAGAAATACGGCAAAAGAGGTCCGCGAGGACGGAAACACAAGAGCCAATCCTTTTCCCGAAGTTAGGGATCGAACTTGCCGACTTCCCTTACCTACATTGTTCTAGAGACTAGAGGCTGTTCACCTTGGAGACCTGCTGCGGATATGGGTACGGACCGGCACGAAAATCACACTCTCTCCCTCGGTTTTTCAAGGGCCGGCGGAGGCGCACCGGACACGGCAGCAGCGACCGTGCTCTTACGAGAACAGCGTCCCTATCTCCTCGTGACGAGATTCCAGGGACACGAGCTCTTACGAAGAAAAGTCAACTCTTCTCCGGGTCCTCCGACGGCGTCGCCGAGTTCGTTTGCGTTACCGCACTTGGGACACGGGTGCCCCTATCTCCGTGTCCGGGTAAGGGAATATTAACCCTTTTCCCATTCTCCAATACTTCTCATCTCAAATAATAGAAGTCTTAAGTATTCCATTAGGAAGTGAATCAGGACCGACTCACCCATGTTCAACTGCTGTTCACATGGAACCCTTCTCCGTGCTTCAGTCTTCGAGGTTCTCACTCGAATATTTGCTACTACCACCAAGATCTGCACCGGCGGAGGCTCCAGTCGGGTTCGCGCCTGACTTCTTACGCTCTCCGCCGCGACCCTCCTACTCCTTTCTCGTAATATCGACGTTAGAGAAAGGGCCGGGTATGGGCTCGACGCTGGAGCGCCATCCATTTTCAGGACCGGTTGCTTAGGCAGGTGAGTTGTTTACACACTCTTAGCGGATGCCGACTTCCGTGGCCACCGTCCTGCTGTATAGAGCAACCGACACCTTTTATGGGTCTCTGAGCGTCCCGCATCGGGCGCCTTAACCCGGCGTTGGTTCATCCCGCAGCGCCAGTTCTGCTTACCAAAAGTGGCCCACGCGCCACTCTGCATCCTTACGGGAGGCCTCCGAATCGGGAGAGGCTCCTTCTCGTCCGTTCGTAGTTTGAGAAGAGGTGAGTGACACGGGCGTCCCCGAGGCGCTCTAATCATTCTCTCTAC